CTCTCTCTCTCTCTCTCTCTCACACACACACACACACACACACACTCTCTCTCTCTCTCTCTCTTTCTCTCAAAATAAATAAACATTAAAACAAAAACATCTATTAACCATTTGTATTTCACACAGTCTTGGGAAACAAGCTGAGCCAATAATTCTCCCTATCTCACAGATGAGGAAAGTGAAGTCTAGGACTGTAGCTTGGCTCTTCTCAGAGTCTGGTGTTCTTAGTGAACGAACCATTCCTGGAGGCCCTGCCCTTCCTGAGGCGAGGGTGGCTCCTGTGTCACACCTGGGTGTGGGGGGGTGGGGTGGTTCAGGGAGCTGGGGCTTAGGCAGCCCAGCAGGACCTCTGCCCCCTTCCACCTGCCTCAGATGCAGAGTCTGTATGCTTTTGATGAGGAGGAGACAGAGATGAGGAACCAAGTTGTGGAAGACCTGAAGACGGCTCTCCGGACACAGCCCATGAGGTGACCCATTGTGTTTCCTCTTCCTACTTCCTTTGGTGGTTCCCTTCCCTTGGTGGTTCCCCTCAATTTCCTGAAGCTTCACCCAATGCTCTGCTCCCAACTCAGTCCCCTTACAGGCTCCACCCCTGGGCATCGCCTAGAGTTCCCCCCACTCAGCTGTACTTGCAACCTCCCACTCTTCCTCCCTCTGAGGAGCTGGGAAGCTGCCAGAGGATGGGCATGTGGGGAGCCAGGGCAAAGAGCATGTGAATGTGGCATAAACCTTAGGTCCTGAAGAGCTATCTGAGCAGAAACTTAGGGCAGGTGCTTTTTTGTCTTGGAAAAACAGAATGGGACATAGGGTGGTGGCCTTATGGACAAGGTGTAGAAGAAAGAGCTCTGCGCATGAGTGCCCCAACCTAGGGGGAGATGCGGTGTCTGTGGACAAGAATCCGCCATGTAGAGGAGGTGTGATACAGTCCAGGAAAAGGGGATGATTTCTCAAATGCTAAGAAGAAGGACCCTTCCCCTTTCCAGGACCACACTGTGTAAAGGTCCAAAGTGGGCAAAGAGCCATAGATTCTCTTTGTGCCTGGGAGCTGGCTTGCACCTGCTTGTGGGAGCTGACTGTTAAATTTTCAGCAGTTTTGCAAGCTGTTTGTTAAACGTAACTATAGTTAGAATATAACATATAAACTTACAACTAAATAAATAATATCAAAAACAAAAGTAATTAAGTACTTGAAACTTATTACTCTGTAATTACCCAGAGATCTTACTACAGTTTAGTTTTATGTATGCTCTTTACTCTTGTATATACTCTTGAGTTTATACCCATTGTATAAGCATGGTTCTGGAAATACTGTTGACCCTGAACAAGGCAGGTATTAGGGGCGCTGACTCCCACACAGTCAAAAATCCATATATAACTTTTGACTCTCACCAAACTCAACCACTAACAGTCTACCATTGACCAGCAGCCTTACCAATAACATAAACAGTTGATCAACACATATTTATAAGTTATATGTATTATATACAGTATTCTTATAATAAGGTAAGCTAGAGAGAAGAAAATGTTAAGAAAATCTTAAGGAAAATACATTTATAGTATTGTACTGTGTTTGTTGAAAAAAATTCCTGTAGAAGTGGACCTATACCGTTCAAACCCGTGTTATTCAAGGGCCAACAGTACAATAAACATCTCTTGGAAGGCAGGCATCTCTTTCCAACTTCCCAACTCCACATTCAAAGATGTCACATAGATATCTTTGAAATCAGCTATGCTAGCAGTATTTATACCATGGAAATTGTAAAACACTACAATCGGGCCTTTTCTTCCTTTCTTCAGAGAGCCAGTTGTTAAATGTTTACCAGTGGGTCTGCCTGAGTGAGTGAGTGAGTGAGTGAGTGAGTGAGTGAGTGAATGAGTGAGTGGTCTGGGCTGAGCTTCCTACTTCCGGAGCCTGAAACTAAAGCCTCAGGAGAATGGGAGTGCCTTAATCTTTCTGGCTGCTCAGGTGTGGGTGGGAGGCTGGTATGGGAAGGGGACGCAGGAAGGATGAGGACATGGGGAAGGAGAGGGGTTGAGAGAAGGCTTCCAGGTTTGTCTTCCACTTCAATTTATTTTTCTTTCCTTTAATAAAATTCTGATTAAGTTACACACAGTCATGGTGGAAATTCCGTGGTATACAGAAAACATATAATAGAAACAAATATACCCATTTGAACAACTTATTTTGAGAGTATATTCTATTTTGTAGGCATATCTATATAATAATATGGAAGTACAACAAATACACTTGGGATCAAACATATTAATTAGATAAAACGTCTCCCTCAGTTCCATTTATGACCTTTCCTTAGATCATTATTCTTCCACTAAATCAAGTGTTCAAAGCCTCTTGTGTATGTGTGCGTGTGCACACGTGTGCCATGAATGGCTCTGGCACTGGATGAAACCTAATGACTGCTTATCAGAATGATGTTTTTAAATAATAAAGTAGATAAAAATAGATAAGATTAAAAATAAACCAATTAAATGGAAACACAGTTAACCAAATATTAAACATTTGTGAGGTAGCAATATATGTGCTGCTTTATGCCTTCAAGAGCAAGAACTAGCAGCTACCATAATTTCGAAGTGCTGATACTTATAACAATTATAATTTGATATGAAAATAGCCGATTTCTTTGAGTGACAAAGTCACAGATTCTGATAATACCACAGTGTATTGCCTACATTCATCAGCAAAGGAAATGGTACATTTCAGGTAGAGGTTACCAAAAATAAAAGTCTAACTTTTTTTTTTTCTCCATCCAAGTTATAGACCCCTGCATGTTAGCCATAGACCCCTTAGGAGGACACAGACTCCAGGTTAAGAACCCCTGAACTAAATGGTTTTTAATGCTTTCTGTTACCATTCAAGATAACTTAGCTATTTTCTTAAGGATCTCTTGAAGAGCACCTTTCTTAGCCTCGGTCCTGTGACTCAGTGACTCTGATGCATCCCCCACCTGCCCCCATCTGGAAGTCCTCTTTGTCTTCTGACTGTATTTGTGTTAATTCCCATCCTCACTGGAGATGAATTTTCAGGTTTAACAGCCATGATAATTACAGTGATAATTACTACGGTCATTCCCTTCCCGTATACCCCATCTTAGCTATGCAACTGTCAGTTAATGACCTGCAAATTCATGGTATTTAAGGTGCAAATAAGGCATGAGTCTGCTGTGACGGTGATAGGATTTCAGTGCTTTAGGAAAACTCTATAAATGAACCAAGTGGCTACTGTAGGTAGGACACCGTGGTCGCAGGTAACAGGGTAACTATTGGCAAATGTTACAGAATAATATGCAAATTCAGGATATCGGTTGTGCTGATGGCTCTGGCCTGGACAGGTTTGTGACACGCTTCATTGAACTGGAGGGTTTGACTTGTCTGCTGAATTTCCTCCGGAGCATGGATCACGCTACTTGTGAAAGTCGCATCCACACCTCCCTCATCGGTTGCATCAAGGCTCTGATGAACAACTCCCAGGGGCGGGCACATGTGCTGGCACAGCCGGAGGCCATCAGCACCATTGCACAGAGCCTGCGCACAGAGAACAGCAAGACCAAGGTGGCCGTGCTGGAGATCCTGGGTGCTGTGTGCTTGGTGCCCGGAGGCCACAAGAAGGTGCTTCAGGCCATGCTACACTACCAGGTGTATGCAGCTGAGCGGACACGCTTTCAGGTGAGGGCCCTAGTGGGGGCTTCCTTAGAAAGACTTAAGGGCCCTTAGTAGATACAGGTTTGGCTGAGAAAATGGACTCCTCACTGGACTGTGGGTTCTTTGAGGCTGGACTATTGGTCTGTGGCTCTACATCTCTGAGCCCCGTGCCTGGCTAATCATAGGGGCTCATCAAAGTTGAACCGAATGCAGTTGCGGGGGCTAAGATTTTAGGTCCTCTGCCTGGGCCAGTGCTTACTGTGGGCACCCCAGGAAGAGTGCTAGAAGCTCATGCCATGCTTTTTTCTTCTCCCTGGCCTGCCCCAGAAAACTAATGAGATAATAAGTATAAAGTGTCTTATGTAGACTAAGTATCAACAGATCTGAAATGTCACTGTAGTACAAACTCCATGGTTTATCTACCAGTATAGGCTATTTGTTTATTCTGTCATCAAACATTTTTAAGCACCTACTTCGTGCAGAAATTGGGCCCTGACCTTTTGCAGAAGATGCCGAAGAGGTAAAAGGCAGTGTCCGTGCTGTCACGAAGCTGGGCAGGAAGATTTATGAACCATAAACAGCTAGAGCTGTAAACAGCTGTAAAGTGCCAAGGCAGCACTTCGGCACTGCCCCCACAATATAAACTAAGCCACGGAGGTGAGTAGAGAGGAGGCAAGGCAGAACTGAGACAGAGGTGTGGAGAGGCAAAGGATGGTTCTTGGAAAAGCTGAGCTTTTGGGAAGGTCCGAGGTAAGCTGGATAGATGGGGTAGAGAGAGTGTAGGGGATATGCTAGGCAGCTAGAATGGCGGGGGCGCACATGCAGAGGCAGGACTTGTAAGATCCTGAGCCTGCCTTTCCTCTTCGGTCCTGCCTTTCCATCCAGACACTGCTGAATGAGCTAGACCGAAGTTTGGGCCGGTACCGGGATGAAGTGAATCTGAAAACAGCCATCATGTCCTTCATCAACGCTGTCCTCAATGCTGGAGCTGGAGAGGTGAGGCATCTCTTGCCCTTACTGTTTGTGGACTTTCTGGGTGCTTAAAAATCCCGGGGTAGTATGTGCAAGTGCCTCCTGGAGAAGTGGCAGAGAAAAGGGGCCAAGACCGCTGGTTGGTGTGGTTTCTACTATCAGCATTGTCTTCAGATTATCTTTATCAACTCTTGCCTCCTTCACTTGGAGCTGAGAAAGAATAGCTTGTCATGCACCTTACTGTCATGAGGGGTTCTTGGGGAGATTCTTACATGGGTAACATCATGCATTACGTGTAGTCTGGACAAACCTCAAGCTTGGCTGGCTGATGCTGGCTTCTCATTTATGGAAGGAGGGCAAGTGTTGGCTCTTCTTTCTAGAGCTTTCTAAAGACCTACTTCTGGACTCATTTCCGAGTTGGCTTGTCATGCCCTCTGGCACCTTCTTTTAGGGGGTATGGCTCCTGATTTTCCTTCCTTTGGGGTCAGAATGGGATTCTCAGGCCATAAAAACAGCAATAGTTGAAGAAGACCTTGAAAAGCAGGTGAACTCCCCAAATGCTAAGGGGATCAGATACACCGATCAAAGTCAGTTTGTTGAAGGACTAAAAGGGGCAATTTAATGATCTCTACTTTTCCCTCTTTTTTGCTAGCATGCTTTTCTTGCATCCAGTCCTGATGAGCTGAGTTAGGTGAGGTGGGTTGGGGGAATAATCTGTCCCTAAGATGCTGATATCACCTTGGTCAATACTAGCTATTATGACTAACATTTGTTCTGATTAGTTGGTGACCATACTTCGTTAGGTAATTTTTAATGAATATCACCCCTGTAGGTAAGTAGTATCATTCCCATTTTAAAGATGAGGAAACTAAGGCTCTCCCAAAGTCACAAAACTAGTGAGTGTCAGAGCAGGGATTTAAACCAAGATTTATCTGATGTCAAAGTTTATATTCTACATCACTCTACAGTGATGCTCTTTGATGCCAAAGGCTGAGAAAATTGGTAAGAGACTTACAGAAGTGAAGCAGGAAAGCTAATGGGAGTAAATAACAAGGTCAAAGGTGTCTCCTCCCGCCCTTTCTTGAAACTCTGGGACTAGAAGTAGTTCCAGATGGGTTGTTGCAGGTGGTGTGGGATGATGACTGGAGTAGTGATGAGGGGGCCACTGGGGACCTTGTGGAAGAGACACAAGCTGATGAGTCTGTTCCTCCCTTGGGGACCCCCCAGGATAATCTGGAGTTCCGCCTACATCTACGGTACGAGTTCCTGATGCTGGGAATCCAGCCTGTGATTGACAAACTCCGGCAGCACGAGAATGCCATCCTGGACAAGTAAGGCTCAGCCACCTGTCCCCACTGCAGATGTATGGGAACAGTACCTCAGTTGGGGATGATCAGGACTTTCAAGGAGGCTGACCTTCCCACTGGAGACCACCTGCCATACCCTGTATCAATGCAGAATCAGCTCTGTGGTGGGGGGCGGGGGGAGGAGGTGGACAGCAATCCCACCTCCTTGTCCCAGATCCTACCTGTGTCCCTGCCTCCTCTCTTTGCTGACCCTCTTCCTCAGCTCTGATGTTATAGGCAGGTGAACCCAGTAGTCCTCAACCATGGCAGTACCTCCCTCCCAGGGGGCATTTGGAAACGTGGGGGTGTTCTTTGGTTTTAAGACTGGCTGGTTGGGAGATACTAACTGGTATTGGCTGTTGGAAACCAGGAGTGCTAAATATCCTGTAGAGCACTCCTGCGTAGCAAGGAAATGCCCCAGCCCAAATAAAAGTCCAGATAAAGGTCCTTGTTGATGAAAGGGTGCAATTAAATTCCTATATGTTCCCAGTGAACTCTGTCCCCTCTGGTTCTGTCCCATTGATATAGACTATTTTGTTGTCCTGGGTCTTAAGGGAAACAGGATAGATCCTTTTGAATTGGAGTTAGGGAGTGGTTGAGGTAGAAAATGAGAGAGTTTGGCTTTGAGAGCTCATGGGGACAGTATGAGAACACTGGTGATGGCAGGGCAGTGGTCCTTGACTAGGGGCAATTTTACTCCCAGAGGACATTTGGCTATGCCTGGAGACATTTTTGAAGGTGAGGGCTGCTACTGGCGTCTAGGGGGTAGAGATCAGAAATGCTGTTGAACCTTCTACATCTCACAAATAAGCTTCCCACAACCAAGGATAATCTAGCCGCAGATGTCAATAGTGTCCAAACTGAGCAAGATTGATCCTAGGGTAATGGGACCCTGGGCTGGCCTCCCTGAGGAAGGGACATGGGATTCTATTAAAGAGGAGAGTGTTGGCCTACAGAAAGGTGGCTTCTGTCTGGTTTTTCCTTGTCCTCACTGAATGAAGCTTTCAGATTTACTTGGTTGGGGGCTCAATGGGACTTAACCCTCAACCTCGAATGTCATGGAGGTAATATCTAGTCTCTCTATCCCCCCATCCTATCTAGGCATTTAGACTTCTTCGAGATGGTCCGGAATGAGGATGACTTGGAACTAGCCAGGAGGTTTGACATGGTGAGGAGCCTGAAGGGATGGGGTGACTGCAGGGTGGGGGGTCCCAGATGACCCCACAAGCATCTTCTCTGGATCCTGTGCTGTGATAGGTCCAGTGTTGGCTGGCTTCCCTGGTGAGTGGCCCCCATGGCTAAGTCCGACTTCTGGAGCCCAGCAGTGTGTTGGCTCTGTGGGGCCTCACCTGGTAGGGCATCTCCCCTGCTGGGAGATCGCAACCCCCAAAGGAAAGAGAGCCAGTTCCTACGCATGATTAGTCTCAAATGCCTCTCCTGGGCTTTTCTCCCTGCCTTCCAGCAACTTCCCTGAGTCACCTTTCCCCATCACTAACCAGATCATGCTTCACCAACCAAATTGACTTTTTATTTAGGCCTCAGTAATCCTGAAAACACACAGTTTGGCTGCTTAAATAATGTATTAGAAAAGCTCTCCCCAGGGGCGCCTGGGTGGCGCAGTCGGTTAAGTGTCCGTGAGTTCGTGAGTTCGAGCCCCGCATCGGGCTCTGGGCTGATGGCTCAGAGCCTGGAGCCTGTTTCCGATTCTGTGTCTCCCTCTCTCTCTGCCCCTCCCCCGTTCGTGCTCTGTCTCTCTCTGTCCCAAAAATAAATAAACGTTAAAAAAAAAAAAGAAAAGCTCTCCCCAAATAGAAACCTACTTCTGGTGGTGCAGCAGTCACCAGGCCCCATCCCGTTATATTGTCACAAAAGCCCTGATTCACAGATAAGCAGACTGAGATTAGCTTGCCTGCTGCCACACAGTGAGAGAGTAGATCTTGGATCTGAACCCCAGTTGTGTGCAGCTATTCTACATGGTTCTTGAGTTGTGTATGCCCATTTCTCTTAGTTTAATAGTTCTCAGCCAGGAGTGACTTTGCTCTCTCCTCCCCCTGTGGACATTGGCAATGTCTGGAGACATTTTTCGTTATCACGACTGGTGTGAGGTGGATGCCACTGGCATTTGATAGGTTTTGGCCAAGAATGTTGCAGAACAGCCTACAGGGAACAGGACAGCTCCCTACAACAAAGAATGATCCAGTTCAAGATGCCAATAGTGCTGAGGTTGAGAAATCCTGCTTCATATAATTAGGACATCTTCCTCCTCCTTTTCTCTGAATCTCTCTCTCTCTCTCTTTAATATTTATTTATTTTTGAGAAAGAGAGAGAGAGAGAGAGCAGGAGTGAGCAGAGAGAGAGGGAGACACAGAATCTGAAGCAGGCTCCAGGCTCTGAGCTGTCAGCACAGAGCCTGACACAGGGCTCGAACTCACAAACCATGAGATAGTGACCTGAGCCAAAGTGGGACACTTAACCAACTGAGACACCCAGGTACCCCAGTCTCTCGATTTTTTTTTAAGTTTATTTATTTTTGAGAGAGGGGAGCGGGGGGGGGAACAATCCCAAGTAGGCTCCATGCTACCAGCACAGAGTCTGACAGGGGGCTTGAACCCATGAACCGTGAGATCATGACTTGAGCCAAAATCAAGAGTTGGACACCTGAGCCACCCAGGCACCTCTCTATGCATCTCTTTTTAAGCCTAGGCCAGAAGCAGGAGAAGGAGCATTGTCCTGGGGAATGGGGTGCAGTGGATAGAAGCAGGGTTTTCTCCCCTCTTCTGCTGCTTGCCCCCTCCCCATTCACTGTTCCCTCCACTCCCTCAGGTCCACATCGACACCAAGAGTGCTTCTCAAATGTTCGAGCTGATCCACAAGAAGCTAAAGCACACGGAGGCCTATCCCTGCTTGCTGTCTGTCCTGCACCACTGCCTGCAGATGCCCTGTGAGTAGCCCACACTTGCCACTTCCTCAGCCGGCCTGAGCCTTGGCCGGGGATAGGTTGAGACAGGGTGTCAGGACCTCCTTGGCTTGGTGAGTCTGCCTGGGTCTCCCTCCGCACATGCCCCTGGGAGGCTTGGCCACAGGACTCAGGCCCTTTCTCTTGCCTCCCTCTTTGAGGTCAGGACATCCTCAGTCACCCAGGGGAGATGCTGGGGTCTTGGCCCTGAGCAATGCTAACGTCCTGGTCTAGCAAGCAGTAGGTTGATCGTTGCAAAATCAAATAGCTCTGGCTGTTAGCTAATGGCAGGTGAGCGGTCAGTCCTTTTGGGGAGCTCCAAAAAAGAAGTTTTGTGGTTGGGGGAGTAACACAGATATACACTGAGCATGCCTGTTTTCAGGGTTTTATCAGCTCCTCCATCTAGGCATTGTGAGCTCCACTTTATCACACTTGTCCCTGCTTCTCTTTACAAATATCAAATGTCAGCATCTAAGCTTAGCAGATGCTAAGCTCTTAAGATCCAGGGGTGCACAGTGACTTAATAAATCACACACAATCACTAATAGCCACCCCAGCATGAAATTTGAAATGAGCTATAACTGTACCATTTGGTATTTAAGCTCTTCACAAAATTGAATATTTGGAAGGCTAGTGTGGCCAAACTTCATGATCTAGGCTGACTCTCCAGTGCTGATGATGCTGGCATTGGTATTCATGGTGATGGTGGCAATAATTACAGCTTACTATGTGCTACCTCTGGGCCATGTGTGATGCGAGCTTCTCTGGCACAGTGTCTCTAAGCCTCAAAATGATTTAATTTTTTTTTCAACGTTTATTTATTTTTGGGACAGAGAGAGACAGAGCATGAACGGGGCAGGGGCAGAGAGAGAGGGAGACACAGAATCGGAAACAGGCTCCAGGCTCTGAGCCATCAGCCCAGAGCCCGACGCGGGGCTCGAACTCACAGACCGCGAGATCGTGACCTGGCTGAAGTCGGACGCTTAACCGACTGCGCCACCCAGGCACCCCAGCCTCAAAATGATTTAAGGAGTGTACATTATTATATCCGATCCACGGTGTATGAACTTGAGGCTGGGTGAGTCTGTACATATGACAGAATTTTTGTTTCTTTGGGGTCATGGCTTTAGATGAAACATGTTCTACTTCTCTGAGCCAGTGACCTGGCTTTACCCTGCTTTCCTGGGTGAAAGACCAATATAAAACTATACCACTTTGCAATTCCTGTGGCAGTGAAGTGATGGAAAGGAAAATGGCCACAGTGGCCTAGACCAGGGAGCTATCCATTGTCCAAAGCTCAGTCGAGAGATCTTTGTGGAAGACATAGGAAGTCCCTGAGAAACCCAACTTCTCCTCACGAGTTTTTGTGTGTGGTGTTCCATGGGCAATGCAGAGGGTCTCTTTTGCCTCCAAATGGGGCTTTGCAGACATGACCTTCTAACTCGTAAGCTTGTGGTTTGACTTTGAGGTCAGGATCATGCTGGTTGATCTCCCTTGGTGGTCAGTTGAGACAAAGTACTTGGGCTCAAGAACTGAGGAAGAGAGGCTTGTGGCTAGCGCATGAAAAGAAAGGCCATGTCCCACCAGATCATGATGACAGGGGATGGGAGTGGGGCCCTGTGAGATCAGGCACCACGTGCAAGCCTTTGCCTTCATAGTTCAGGGTCACCTTCACCAAGAAATCTGCCTGGATTCCATTAGCATTGTTCCAACCCACTCTGTCTCTCAGTGCATGCCTGTAATTAGTTTCCACTCATCTTTCACTGTAGAACAACAGCACAGATAATCCTAAAACCTTTTCTTTTTTTAAATTTCCCTGGAGACTTCATTATTTAGCAGGTAATATTTTGGAGCAGATTTACTTTCTGAAAGGTGCTTTTTTTAGATAATGTAAAAGGCAATTTGCATTCCCAAGGCATAGGCTACTCAGGGTACCTACAGGGAAGGAAGGCAGCCAGGTAGCACTTCAGGGAGTAGAAAAATATGTCTAGAGCATTGACACTTTTATAGTCAGTTGCAGATCATCAAGAAACGGCCAGATTTGTGAGTCTCCATCATCAGCATCAGCAGCATCAGTGCCTCCCCCATCAGACTGGGAGCTTGCCAAGGGAGGGAGAGGGCATGCCTCACCAGCCCGGGCCCAGGCAGTGACTCTGGGGCCTGGCCTCAGGGGAGCTCCCAGGCTCAGTAAAGATATGATGCCTATTGTTCCTCAGACAAGCGGAATGGTGGCTACTTCCAGCAGTGGCAGCTCCTGGACCGCATCCTTCAGCAGATTGTCCTCCAGGATGAGAGGGGTGTGGACCCTGACCTGGCTCCCTTGGAGAACTTCAACGTCAAGAACATCGTCAACATGTGAGCAGTGACCAGCTCCTACCTGTCTTCCTCCTCCTTCCCCATCTCTCTCCTGCTTGGAGTCTCACCAGTGAAACCTCTACTCGCTCTCTCAAACCACATACCTCCAAATGCTCCTTAAGCAGCATTGTCCAACAGAACTCTCTGAGATAATGGAAATGTTCTATATCAGCACTGTCCAAACATGGCCACTGAGCACTTGCCATGTGGATAGTGTGGCTGAGGAACTGAATTAAAATTTTTATTTTGGTTTAATTAAATTCGGATAGCCATATGACATGGTTAGACTACCACATTGAACAGCACAGATTTATAAGGGGTGTGCTCAACTTTTAATGATCCATTGCATGGAGTGGATAGAGGAAGAATTTAAACATATAAACTATGGGGCGCCTGGGTGGCTCAGTCAGTTAAGCGTCCAGCTTCGTCTGAGGTCATGATCTCATGGCTTGTGGGTTTGAATCCCATGTTGGGCCCTGTGCTGACAGCGTGGAGCTTGGAGCCTGCCTCAGATTCTGTGTCTCCTTCTCTGCCTGCCCATCCCCCACTTGTACTCTGTGTCTGTCTCTGTCTGTCTTTCAAAAATTAATAAACATTAAAAGTTTTTAATAAACAACCATATTAACTATGGTCTATGGGCTAACTCCAATCCTCCTGCTTCCTTCAGTATGACCCATGAGCTAAGAATGGTTTTTACATTTTAAAAGTTTTTAAAAACAAACAAGAGGGGCGCCTGGGTGGCGCAGTCGGTTAAGCGTCCGACTTCAGCCAGGTCACGATCTCGCGGTCCGTGAGTTCGAGCCCCGCGTCGGGCTCTGGGCTGATGGCTCAGAGCCTGGAGCCTGTTTCCGATTCTGTGTCTCCCTCTCTCTGTGCCCCTCCCCTGTTCATGCTCTGTCTCTCTCTGTCCCAAAAATAAATAAATGTTGAAAAAAAAATAATAAAAACAAACAAGAATATGTGACAGAGACTGTACCTGGTATACAAAACCTAAAATATTTATTCTGATCCTTTAGAGAAAGTTTGCTGACCACTAAGAGCATGGCAATTTAACTAAGGCTATTGGACAAGGATGTCAGAGCCTAAGGTCATCTGGCTTATCTTTGACGCTGTGTATAGATAAACACAGAGAACCAAGTTTAAAGTCACATCAATTAATGACAGATGTGATGTTAACACAGTTTTTTTAATTTTAAACTTTTAATTTCTTTTTTCAAGTGTTTAATTTCCAGTTAACCTGAAGTGTAATATTCGTTTCAGGTGTGCAATGTAGTGATTCAACACTTCCATACATCACCTGGTGCTTCTCATGACAGGTGAGACAGGTGAGGAGTGACAGGTGCACTCCTTAATCCCCATCACCTGTTTCACACATGCGCCCACCCATCTCCCCTCTGGTAACCATCAGTTTGTACTCTATAGTTAAGAGTCTCTCTTAACTGTTTTACCTTTTGCTCATTTGCTTTGTTTTTTAAATTTCATATATGAGTGAAATCATCTGGTATTTGTCTTTCTCTGACTCATTTCCTTAGCATGATACTATCTACCTCCATCCATGTCATTGCAAATGGGAAGATTTCATTCATTTTATGGCTAAGTTGTACAATGGAATATGTGTGTGCATACATATACATATATATCTCACATCTTTATCCGTTCATCAATCGATGGACCTGGGCTGCTTTTATATCTTGGCTACTGTAGATAATGCTGCTGTAAATGAAAGTCTGAGCCAGTTGCCCTTTAAAGAGATAAACCGGCTCTCAAGGATTCATTATATCACATTCCAAGGCCAGGTGGAAAATGATTTTTGAACTATTCATGCTACTGTTTTCTTTTGTACAAGTAGTTGGATATTGATGTGGTTAATCCTACCTGGTATGCTGGACAAATACAACTAGCAAAGTAATCAAAATGTAGCTTTATTCTTATTTTTGTTTTTGTTTTCTATTAATTCTTTACACTATTTAGTGGGGGAAGCTTTTCCTCTGCCAGAGGTTGAAAATGCCTCAGCTTCAATAAAGTTTTTGCTTCTTCTTGGGCAGTGGAAGTCCTAAGATCATTTTAAGCCACCAATATAGTCTCCAATCTGCACCTAGGAGAATTGGTCCCAGATGTGAAGAACCATGTGAATTCTAGATTTGATTTAGCCTTTAGCCTTAAACCTCTCTCTTCCTCTCTCTTCCTTCCAGCTGGGGCTAGAAGCTGCAGTGGAAAGGATATGTGTGATGATTGGCTTTCTTTCTCTGTTTCTCTTCTTTTTTTTTTTTTTTTTTTTTTTTAATTTTTTTTTTTCAACGTTTATTTATTTCTGGGACAGAGAGAGACAGAGCATGAACGGGCGAGGGGCAGAGAGAGAGGGAGACACAGAATCGGAAACAGGCTCCAGGCTCTGAGCCATCAGCCCAGAGCCCGACGCGGGGCTCGAACTCACGGAGCGCGAGATCGTGACCTGGCTGAAGTCGGACGCTCAACCGACTGTGCCACCCAGGCGCCCCTCTCTGTTTCTCTTCTAATAACCCTTTCCACACACCACTTTTCTGTTGGCTAACTAGTTTCTAACCCCGATAAGGCAGTGTGGGGGCAGGAAGCAGAAGGGCACAAGGTCTTTCTTGATCAGGTAACTAAGTGAACAGGCTTTCTATTCTCTGGCCTTAGAACATGGGTAAAGACATGAATTATTTCTGGATCTTCTACTTCTTTGCTGCATGCCTCTCACTATAAAACCCTGGTCACTGGCCATTTAAGGTTTTTGTTTCTTTCTTTTTGCCCCCTGGGGCTGGTTGGTACCATCCCTTCAGTCACCTCCTGATTCACTGGCAATCCAATGCACAATGGCACAGTGTTGAAATATCCAATTTTCTGCTATATGGACATCTTGGACAGGACTTAAAATGACATCAGCCCAGTTTCCCCATGATGCTCACATCTGGTCCTTGAGGAACCCTCATGCAATCTCTGTACCAAAAAACTCTAGGAGTGCTGGCTGGTCCCAGCACAGCACCACTCTCCTGGTTAATGTTTCCTCATTCTTTGGACCTGCCTGGCACCAAGTCATACCCAAGTCTACCATACCTCCCTCCCAACGTCAGGGAATGTGAGCCCAAACTCTCTGAGTGGGTCCAAAAAAGCCACCGGATGGTGGTGAAGGAGGTAGCACCCCCAAGAAAGACAGCAATGGCTTTCTCCAAAGACATCTCTTCACAAATTATGTCCCTTTTCATACTCTGCGCCCTCTTAGATCTTGATCTGGTGAAGAAAGCCAAGATTCATGATTTTCATATTTTCAGAGTTACAAAAAAAAATGATTATTGGTATCTCACTTTGGGATTTCACCTCTACTACACTTTGGTGTCCAGGTAATAGCTTTAACCCCCGTTACAAGAATTTGACATGAGTGAGGAGCATCTGTGATTTCGATACATCCCTCTTCGCCCTCAGCATATACATCCTGTGTTGCTGGGATGGGCAATTTCTCTTGTTCTTACACATTGGTCTTTGGAAGTCTGGAGCATGGTAAGGCTAACATTTTTATCTATCTCAGTGCAAAAAAATTATTTTTACAAAGAGATACAAGTCATTAGAAAACTAAAGGAAGCCTGAGATTTAGTCCCAGTTCTACCATTAGTCAAGCTATTGTCTTCATATCTGGTCTCAAGAGCTTCAACTGTATCATGAAGTGGTTGAATCATAAGTTATCTAAGGGGCCTTTCAGTTTTCACAATCCATGGAGAGACACATGAGAACTGGGAAAGCTGGGGACCTGGAGAAACATCTGGAGATTCAAAATCCTAGCTTCCTTGATGTGGCTGGACAGACTGGAGATCAGGGAACCAGTGTGGGGAATAGGAGGATGGTATGTCTTCTGGGAACTTGTGAGACAACAGTCAACAGACCCTTCCCTGTACTCCCCACCAGGCTCATCAATGAGAATGAAGTGAAACAGTGGCGAGATCAGGCAGAAAAGTTCCGGAAAGGTAAGGTGCTCTGCCTAAAGCCACTGCACGCTCCACTGAAACTCTTCCCTGACCAGCCCAGGAGCTGTTAGAGGCAGACACACACATATGCATATTCTCTCTTCCATTTCCTCTCTGGTTCCACCCCCATCCCAGAACACATGGAGCTGGTGAGCAGGCTGGAGAGAAAGGAGCGAGAATGTGAGACAAAGACGTTGGAGAAGGAAGAGATGATGCGGACACTGAACAAGATGAAGGACAAACTGGCCCGAGAGTCCCAGGAGCTGCGCCAGGCTCGAGGACAAGTGGCAGAGCTGGTGGCCCAACTCAGTGAAATCTCAGTATGTAGACATCCTCCTCTCCTTTTACATATTGAGCTGAGGACTTCAGGATGTTGTGGGAAGAGCAGGTGTGAGGAAGGGCCAAGGATCCCATGATGAAGAAGTGAGAGGAGGACCCTGGGTCAGGACAGAGTAGATCTCTGAGGCTATAAGGGTGGCTACTTTTGCGTTAATTAGAAAAAAAATGCTTTATCCCCTGGGTGAAAAGAGCATTTCCCCTTTCCTTGTCCCAGGAAGTAGAACGCATAGTGCAGGTACTATTTTGCCCCCACCCCCAACCCGTGCAGCTGGATGCCCCTGTGCAGGCAATAGCCTACACAACTGTATGCATTATTCTTGCTGTTGCATTGTGATAACTGTGACTTTTTCAGTGTCATGTATATGTGTTTTACCTATGTGTGTGTGTGTCTGTATTTGTGATGTGTGTGTTGGATGTTTGGGTCACAGAGAGGAAATGGGGGAGGGCAAAATGTGTGTGGGAGGTGAGAGCAGGATTGGGGTCTCCTATAGATGAAGAATAAGGAGAGGAATAGTGTGGTGGGGACCTGAAAGGCATCATTGCTGATGAATTTGTCCTTTTTATTTTTCTGTTTCCCCACAGACAGGACCTGTATCTTCCCCACCACCCCCTGGGGGTCCACTTACCTTGTCTTCCTCGATGACAACCAGTGACCTGCCTCCACCCCCGCCCCCTCTACCTTTCGCCTGCTGCCCCCCACCGCCACCACCACCTCTTCCACCTGGTGGGCCTCCCACTCCCCCTGGTGCCCCACCTTGCTTCAGCATGGGCCTGCCTCTCCCTCCGGACCCCTGCCCCAGCAGTGATATCCCACTCAGGAAGAAGTGTGTCCCCCAGCCTTCTCATCCACTGAAGTCCTTCAACTGGGTCAAGCTTAATGAGGTAAACAACAAAGAAGAGATCAGTAGGCCCATTCTCCCATGGCCAATGCCAGTCAGCCCCATGGATTGCCTTCCCGTTGTTTGTAGATCCCCTGTCCTGGGTTCATTTTTTTGGTGGGGATAAGGGGGTAGTGGATGCAGAAGATGGGATTGCTGATGGCAGTCAGCTTACCATCCACTGGAAAGAACATCTACACTGGTATGAGGAGGCATGAATGTGCTAAGGCTCAGGTTGGTAAAGCCATCTACAGATGGAATTTGTGTGTGCTGAGGGTTAATGGAGTGATATAGATACCAGAGCATGGGCCAACCAGGGTCGCTTTCTAGACAACACAATGTCTGGGCTAGAGTTTTAAGGATAGGGTCTATTTGAGGAAAAGGGTGGAAAGATCTTGGGCCAAGGTCTAGAGATGGTAAAGATCAGGGCAGTGTGTTCAAAGGACTGAAACTGTGAGGCCATGGCAGGGGAAGTGATAGCTCCCTTGCCATGAACAGTTTGATGTCAAGATGTAGCCATTTTGGCATCCTCCTGGGGGAAGGTAAACATACTGAGTACTTTTCTAGACTTCTAAGTAGTGAGAGACCCTCATGAATATTATCCACCAATAATCACCAATCCCAGATCACGTGTGGGAGTTGATTCCTCTGTTGGACTCACATGAGCATGGAGGAGAGGTGCCCTGGTTGCATTAGATAGTTAGTAATTTAAGGCCAGTTCCAGCCTGGGTCAAGCCCTGCCTCTGGTTCTATACTAAGTGCTATTAAGAGGACCTGTGGCTTTGTCCATGAGGTGTAACTGGGCTCAGTTAGCCTGACTTATATGCATACTTCGGCAGCAGCCATGCAGACATCATTTTAGAGCTGGGACAAGTGTATGCCCTCTAGCCTTGTTGTCTCAGCCTTTTGGTCTAACTCTTGGAGAATTCATAACTGTACCTTCCTATGCAAGCTTAAATGAGCTCAGATGGAGACTCAAGTGGGAAGAGATGTGAGATTGTGAAGTAGGTGGCCAGCTATTTGTTAGCTGACTCTCCTAACGGTAGACCAGCTAGCCAGTCAGTCTGAGGACTGCTTTGTATAAAGCTTTTTGCAGGGGGCTATGATGGATAATAATAAAAGGTGAGACAAAACACTGCCCTGTAAGAGCTTTGGACCTGGAAAAGTAGGAATTTTGTTTAAAGAAACACCTAGAGATCCCAGAGAGGGATTGAAGGGGAGGTTCTAACCTCTAAACCAAGTGTGGCTCTAACTAACTGCGACCGGTGTAAATCACTCACTTTGTACCTCAGTTTTGCTCGTCTGTGAGATTTCTAGGATTCCTTTTACCTCTGGTTTTATAATGGAGGTGGAAAGACAAAGCATGAATATAGCCCATTCATAGTCTCCTGGGCCTCTGATAACATCTCCAGTCTAAGCTGGTAAAATTTTAGAGACACCTGTTAGAGTTTTGAAGCCACATGGTTGACGTTTGTGACAACTGTACCGCACAGCTGTGCCCTGTGGGCACTTCTCCATGGTCATGAGGCAGACAAACAGCTCTGAAGAACCAAAGGCCATACACAGGTTGTGTGGAAATGTTCAGTGTTCATGAACAGAAATAATATATATACTTTTTTGGGGGTAAAAAAAATATTTTTTTTTGTTGTTTCCTGTACTTAGAATTATAATTTGAAGGGTTTTTTGTTTTTTTTTTGGCTTCCTTAAAAAAAAACCTTTTAAATGTTTTAACTGAAGTATAGTTGACACACAATATTACATTAGTTTCAGGTGTCCAACGTAGTGGTTTGACAACTCTGTCCATTATGCTATGGTATGATATATCTATTTTCAATGTTCTCAGGAACCTCCGTACTGGTTCCCACAGTGGCTGTACCAGTTTGCATTCCCACCAACAGTGCAAGAGGGTTCCTTTTTCTCTGCATCCTCACCAACCCCTGCTTCTTCTTGTCTTTCTGATTCTAACCATTCTGACAGGTGTGAGGTGATATCTCATTGTAGTTTTGATTTGTGTTTCCCTGATGATCAGTGGGTTTGAGCATCTTTCCATGTGTCTGTTGACCATCTACAGGTCTTCTTTGGAAAAATGTCCATTCAGGTCCTCTGCCCATTTTTTACTTGTATTACTTGTGGAGTTTTTTTGGTGTTGAGTTGTATAGGTTCTTTATATATTTTAGATATTAACCCTTTATTGAATGTATCATTTGCAAATATCTTTTCCCATTCTGTAGGTTCCCTTTTGGTATAATTTTAAGATTTTAGATAAGATTTTATAAGATTATAAATATCTTATAAATAAGATAATTATAAGATTTTAAAAAGGTAATGAAAAGTTGATTAGGCACCTCAGCCATTAAGGAAGACAGACAAGGCAACTAATATTTTTGCAACATTTTCATCAAGTAGAGCTTTGCACTTAGGATTTTCTCTGGGGTCCAATAATAATAAAGTCTATATAAATTCCTCAGGGGCCCGAAGTAGTCCAGAGTTTTATTCCTAGACTGGAAAGTACAAGTCGGATGGAATAAGGAATAGAAAGGATTTGCAGGAATTGTCAACATTTCTCAGCAGGGGTGACTGGAGGGGCATTGAACAGTATCTGTGAACCTATTATCCCAGTTCCAAGCTTTTAATCATGTGACCAGGAGTTATTTCATCATTTTGGTTTCAGGTTCCTAATCTGTAAAATGGGAGTAATTATGACATCTATATCAAAGGACTGTTATGAGGATCAATTGATATATAAAGTACTTGGAACAGTGACTGACACATAGAAATTCATAATAATAAAAATAATCTTAGGTTATGAGTGGCACTACCATGCATGCTTTAAGTGTGTTATCTCACTTAATCCTTACTTCAACTCAGTCAGCAAGCATCATTGAGACTGTGCTTCCTTTTATGTGAAATAAAAAGAGAATAGTACCCCTCTACTTTCCAACACTCCTGCATAGTGGTGAGGCTGGGAGTGCAAGCTGGCTTGGTCTGTCTGACCCCAGATGCTCAGTGAGAGAAACACCCTGAAAAGTGTTTTGGAGAAAGATTTCCCTGGCATATAAAGGATGTCTCTAGAAGGGCAGAAGCCCCAGGAACCTAGACTGTAAATGATGAGGTCTTGGCCACAGTGATGCAAAAATTAAAGTCAGGCATTATTCTACACAGTGGGCACATCAGGGCGACTTGGTAAAATGCAGCATGTAGAGAATACTAGGAATTGAGGGACCTCTGTCTGGCTCCAGAGCTCAGCTACCCCTCCATGATGAGCTGCATATGGACATGGGATGGCATGTGGGAAGAAAGGTGGGAGAGCTGGGTGCTTAGCCTGTTCTCTTAGGGGAAGCTCTTTCCGGGGTTGACCATCCAGCTCTCTCACTCCAGCTGGTTCTTCTTGCCATGGCCTCACCAGGAATAAAGATCAATGGCAAGTTTTACCTGTGTGGGCTTTCCCATGGAGCCCACCCACCTCTACTCCAGGCCTAGATTCAGATGGGGAACCAGTTAGAGGTTTCCCTTCCTTGCTTTCTTGGTTCAATTTCCCCTCCCATCTTCTCTCTGCCTCCCATCTACCCCATTCTGGGGGCCTGGCTCCTTTCCCCAGTCCCCTTCCCTTACCCCACGCATGCTCCTGTGCACGCACACGTGTACACACACACACACACACACACACACACACACACACACACACACGCAGTGGTTGTTTCTGCCATGAAAAGAATGTGTCTGTGTTGGGTTTGGCCAGTTGCCTGTATCCCTTGCTGCTCCGAGCTTCCCAGCCCGGCATTCCACAAGAGGGTCCCTGGCCTTAGGAAGGCCACAGGAATGTCCCCACCCCCCTGCTCTGGCCTAGCCTCCCCTTTCCAGAGTTTAAGAAAATAAAAGTGAGTGAAAGGTATGTTTCTCTCTCTAAGCCTTGCTGAGGGGGAGATGGAGGGAGGAGGCAGCAGTGGCCTTAGAAAGGTTCCCCAGCTGCCTTCCAGGCAGAGGAAGGTGGGAGATTCCATTTTAAAGGACAGCAAAGCTCGGGATGAGGCGAAGATCCCTGGGAGGACAGAGTCAGAGCACCCTGGGAGGGGCTGTGCTCTCTGCCCTCTGAGCCATTGTCAGGGTGCTATGAGACCACTGGGGCCCTCTCATCTTGGCTGATGGGGCCTCCCCCCAGGGAAGGGATTCAATGCCAGGGTTCTACACAGAAGTGGGACATTTCCTAGGTGGAGAGACCTTGGAATGTAAACCCTTGGATGCATTCCAACTGTGAGGGATAGACCACTTTCCTGGGTCTGACCAACAGGAAGTTGTGGCAGAGACTTGCTGGCCTGAACAGTCGCTATAGGGGCCAGGATGTCTCAGGCTTTGGCATTTGTCCACTTCCTGGGAATCTGGGAAAGTGGGAAGAAGACCCCTGGGAGAGAAAATGACCATCTCAGTTACGAGAAATATAGTGGGCACTGAGGATTTGAGGATCTCAAATATGTGTGGGCACTATTCCGTCCAGTGACTCCAGCCGACACTGACCTTTAGGGAGTGTGTCCTGAGAACACTGGTTTAGTTTGGTTTTTCTGGAAAGAGTTTCATGCCCTCTTTCATATTTGCCCACCCATCACTCCACTCCGTTTGATTTCTGGAACATACTTACATGTGGTCCCACAAGAAAAGGAGGATGAGGGGGTTGGCTCTGGCCTCTGCTTTGGAGCAGAGTATTTAAGATTTGGGGGAAGATGAATCAACCCCCTTCTGAAGGCCCGAAAGCCTGGCTATTGTCTTTTGTACAGCTGGGAACAGGGAGGGTTAGGGAGACATTGGACCTCTTCATAATGAAGGAGTTGAGTCAACCACTGGGTCTTCTCCCTGTGCTGAATCTTAGGAACGTGTCCCTGGCACCGTATGGAATGAGGTTGATGACATGCGGGTATTTCGGATTCTGGATCTAGAGGACTTTGAAAAAATGTTTTCAGCTTATCAGAGGCACCAGGTAAGACCCTGCCCTGCCCCCTCAGCTGCTTGGGTCTAACCTTCCAGTCTTGACTTCACCTATGCCTCTTGAACCCAACCCTCGACCCCTCCTCTCTCCCTCCCTTCCTCTCATGTATACTGAATGATTTTACTCCTGATTAGGTACCATTCTTTGCTGAGGGACATGGATCCGAATTAGAGGTGTGAAGTCCAGCAGGGAGAAACATCCCATTGTATTACAGTTCTGACACACAGTTGTGTGTATTTACACATCAAGTGCTGGAATCGTATTTTGTCCGTTTCTCTCTTTCATCTTGGAGCACTGGAGATGGAGTCACAGGCCCTGACCACTTTTGACCCCTGTTCTTTCTTTGGCCCCAGGATCTAGACACTATACGTAGCAGGCATGATAACTTTCAAATCATTTTCTCCACCGTACTCTCCCAACACCCACCCCCACGAGTCAGTTAGCCACGGGTGTCAGTGTTTCAAGGAAGATGGAGCTTCTCCAGGTCACATTAGGGGGTTAGGGTGGGTCTGGGCAGGGCTGGAGGAGCCCTGCAGACACTGCTTACAGATGGCTGGTCAGTCAGCCTGCTCTTCTAGCAGCAGTAAGAGGGTGGGAGGGTGGATGAATGCAGAGCATCCCTGAGGCAGTGCCAGTTCTCAGACCTCGTCCTCACAGGAATGTGAGTCAGGAGGTGTGTCTGGGCCCAGGAATCTGCACTGTAGCTGGCACATCTGGGGACCCTTCCCCCAAGCCCAGTTTGGATATTCCCAGCCTCAAGGCTTTAGAGTGTGTTCTCTCTGGCCTCCCTTCGAAGGTTGTTGCCTCTCTGTGCTGTGCCACTTTCTCCTGTCTCCTCTGCTGAGCCCAGGGTGCCAGCCCTGAGGACACCCCAGGTGCCAGCGAGTGGGATCTGTGCCCTCCTGGGCCCTGGGGAGCAGCTGCATGTTGTGGCTGGGCTCCCCAGTGCTTTCTGCCAAGTTCAGACCTGTGGACAACCCTTCCTGAGGGCACAGAAGACTCCTCTTAGGGGCCTAGCCAAAGGGATGGAGTAGGGGTGGGGCTCTGGCCTTGACTTGGGGTTCTGGAAAAACCAGATAGTTGGTATTTAATTTAAATGTACGTGCTCAAGGCATCTGATTCTTTACCCTAATTCCAGGCAGAATTTTTAGCCCCTACCCATATCAGGCTGGCATGGCCTCAGGCAGCAGCTGTGGCTTAGCAGGAGGGGGAAGGGGTTCTTCTGAGCACGTGTGGATTGGTGCTCCTGAGTGGAACAGAGGGAGCATGTGCAAGGGGTTTATCAGGCATGGTCAATCACACAACTCCCCCTAACTGGAGAGTCTTCCTGGTGTCCAGGATTCCATCCTGGCCCATCCGGTTTCCAGGGCCCCTGAGGTCAGGCTAGGATGGGGACCAGTGGGGAGAGAGAGAGAGACTATGGGAATTAGAAACAACCTGCGTCTGGGGCCTCCCAGTTTGGTGACTGGAGAAGAGTTGTCTTCTGTTTCTTCTCTGAATCCCCTATTTCAGGACTGACCTCACCCAGAGGTTGCCCAGACTTGGGGTGAATTGTCACTTGGTGGTTGCCCAGACTTGGGGTGAATTCACAGCAGCAGAGCTGGAGAGATCCCAGAGGATGCATGGCCCTGGTCCCTAGTGGCCTCCTTTCCCTGTCTTGGGGTCCAGGATGCATGGGCTTGTTGGGGAAGGAGGTCCTATGAGCTGTGGGGTCTTCCCTCTGTGTCTTATGCAGGTCCTGAATTAGTGACTTAAATTTCATCAGGGTCAGTAAGGGAGAACTGGGTGTGGGCCATGTCCCCTCAGCTCCCTTAGAGATCAAAAGACAGACAAAGGGCAAGAGGCAAAATTCAGGGACACCTGCTTTCCTCTGCCTCAATGAATACAACTTTCACATGTTTCTGGCCCCTTCTGGTTGTATCTCCTCTCCTGTTTAGAAAGATGAAGTCATCCAGCAGTAGAGGAATGCTTTCTGCCCTCTGGGCAATGTCCCAGCAGAGGAGAGGAAAAAATAGCAGCCAAGGCCTGGGTTGGGGAGCTTGAGAGCTTGGCCTGGCCCGACTAGGGAGTGGTGGTGCCACTGGGCCCAGGGCAGGCAGGAGACCTGCTCCCCACTTTGTGGCTTCTCTGTGAGTGCATGTCTGCTAGAATCACCTCCTGTCCACAGCTATTTTCCAGTCTCTATCTCCAGCCATATGGGTCGCCTTGGGATTGGGAGGACGGAGTGGATGCTGAGGGGTTCCCATGTCTCTCCTACTGTCCCTGGGTCCCTGAACCTCTTGGCTAACATTGTGCATGTTTAATTCTCTGTTGGCTGTGGCTGCTACCTGCCTAGGAGCTGATAACTAATCCTCAGCAGGTGAGTCACTCTTGGGGCTCTGGACACTCTAACTTCTAACCACTGTCCTGGGCTGCTGGCCTGTACTGGCCCAAACAGAGGGCTTATTCATTCTACCTTCTACCTTTATTACCCATCCCAACAGGGAAACATGGGAAAGGGCCCCCAAAGAGAAAGCAGAAATGTAGGGGAGGGAAGTAATTCAAGCAGATTCCTACCAGCAATGGAGGTGAATGTCTACTGTAGTAAGGAGAAAACTTCCAGGTCTATTGTATTACCCAGCTGGCCCAAGGCGAGGCTATCCTGAAGACTGCACAGGCTGGGCACTGTACAATCCCAAAGCCACAATTCACAAAGATAAAGATGTGAGTGGGGGCCCTTGGAATTATACAACATGAAGCATGTGCTTGGAACAACCTCCCAGAATAAGAACTAGTTTCCTATCTACGTCACCAAGGGCCCAAGAGAAGGAAGGGAATCTGTTTTGGGGGGAGTCTGCCTGCTGGAACTCCAGTGAAGAGAATTCTTCATGGGATTCTGCCTCAGTTTCCCCACCTCTGAACACGAAACATCCTCTACTCTGGGCACACTGGGCTGTGCTTGAAGTCTTCAGGAGTCTAGGAACTGTGGCCTGATGGGAACTTAGAACCAGCTTCTCATTATAAGCTTGGGGAAACTGTTTGGGTGGGGTGGTAGAGTAGGGCTGATTCTCTGGGATGCTGTGGATCATATCACATTGCCCAAAGCCGTAGGGGTCCATCTGGGCTCTAGTTTGCCAGAGAGGGCAATCTCTAAAAAGGAGGGGGGTCTTCATTGCGCCCAACCCATTCTAACCCATGGTAAAGTCCCAGTCTACTTGATTATTAACTACCCTTGTCTCTCTCTCCTTTTTCTTTCCGTTTTTCTTCCCTTCACACCAGGAGTATCCCCTGGTTGGTGTGGGAATGGTTCCCGGGGGTGGGCAAGGCAAGGATTGGGGAACATACATACCTCAACCTTTCTACTTGGCTTGTCGGTTTCAGAAAGAGCTGGGCTCCACAGAGGACATCTACCTGGCCTCCCGCAAGGTCAAAGAGTTGTCGGTCATTGATGGCCGGCGGGCACAGAACTGCATCATCCTTCTCTCTAAGTATGTGCTTGCATAGCCTGTTCAGCCCTTGGTGGGAGGGATGAGACCCCAGGAGGCAGGGCCTTGAGAGGGCTAGAGCAAAAGCCGACAGTGGAACTGAATGCCTGGGGACAGGAGCGACAGAGGAATGGTGTGACAGCAGTCTCTGCGCTCCCCTTGCCCCCCGCAGTCCCCTGGGAATGGTAGGGGACCACTGATCTAGAACCCTCCCTGGGAGGGTTCTAGGGAGCCTTTGGGAGCTCATGTTCTGCAGCAGTGTGGGGCTCTGAAGACAGGAAACTGTCCCTGGTCAGCATCTGCAGCAGAGTTGCTCTAAGCCCATGGAGGGCCCCGCTAGGCTTAGGCCACAGAGCAGCATGATCTCAGCCCCCAAGCATTTCCCGTGGCTACAGAACAAACAAGGCAGTATCTGCACTAACAGCACAGCTTCTGTGCGGGGCCTCCTGCCTGAGCCAGGGTCAGAGGGCACTGCCTCCCATACTATTCTTAGCCCTGCCCCAGCCATCTCTAGGGCATCCATCCCCCTTTCTTCTCATAGACCCCAGGCCTCAGTTTCTCCCTCTTGATGGTGGAGGAGAGTTCTCTATCCCCAGGATTCCCAATGGTATGCATCTGGAAGGATAGGGAAGGGCTGTGTGTGTGTGTGTGTGTGTGTGTGTGTGTGTGTGTGTAGGGGGGTGGCTTGTCCCTCACCCAGACAGCAAGACGTATGGGAGCAGCTGTGTGGGAGCTGAGGCGCTGTCAGAAGACTGAGGGCTCTTCTGTCTTCCGACACTGAAGGAAGCAGGAAACAGCCCCCTTTGTGGCCTGCTGATATTCCCATCCTCCCATGGAGATGCACTAGATATTTTAGGAAGGAGAAGGATCAGAAACCTTTTTTTCCTGTCTCTCTGTCTACACTAAAGATGGCCCTTTTACTCCCAAATGTCCCTATCACTTATGACAGACACTGAAGCAAGACTCAAGTCTATGCTTTGACTAAAACATATCATTATTGAGTTTATAGAGTGAACCATATCAGTTTAGTTAGAGAAGACTTTGCAAAGGTGGTAAAGAGGGAGCACTGTGGAATATACTCCCATGTTGACATGAAGGAGAGAGAGCAGGAGAGGAGAAGGGCTGGGGTCTGCCCTGAGCAGAGGGGCCCGGCCAGGCTTCTCAAGGGGCAGGGTTTCCCTTCAGGCTGAAGCTTTCTAACGAAGAGATACGGCAGGCCATCTTGAAGATGGATGAGCAGGAGGACCTCGCAAAGGACATGCTGGAGCAGGTGAGGCCTCTAGTGGGGAGGGGATGGGAGCTGAAACTAGGGGGCAGCTGGCCCCCAGAGAGGCCAACACTTTTAGTTAAAGGGGAAATCAGGCTGGAGGACGGAGGATTGGGGGGAGGTTTATAGACACTCCCTAGACCAGCCTTTCTGAGAGGAGGCCAGGAAAGGCAGCATCTTTTCTAGCGGATTGAGGCCCTGAAAGGAGATATGAGGTATGATCCCCCCTGGGCCCAAGACAAAGTCAGAGTGACCTATAGTCATATCTTCCCCAAATCTCTTCTACCTCAATTTATTGGGTCCTTCAAAAGAAACCTAGAAAGCACCAAACAAAACCACCATCAGTTGGACCTCATTAGAATGAAGAACTCTGTTCATCAAAAGGCACCATTGCTAGAGGGAAAAGACAAGCCAGACCTTAGAAAACATTTGCTTTATGGACATCTAGCAAAGATCTCATATTCAGAATAAAGAATTCTACCGATCAGTGAGAAAATGACAAACAGCTCCACTTGAAAATGAGCAGAAGACTTGAACAGGTACTTCAATGAAAGAGAATTTCTGAGTGGCTCAACAGTTGTAGGCATCCAAGAAATACAGTAAACCACAGTGAGGCAGCACCACACCCCCCTACTGGAATAGCTAAAATTGAAAAGATACTGACAATGCCAAACGTTGACAAGGATGTGAAGCGACTGGGATTCCCACTGGCTACAATAATTTGGGGAACAATTTGGCAGTCCACGCAAAGGCTAAATCTATCCTACTGCCCAGCAATCCTGTGGCTAGATGCAGAGAAATGAGTGCAAACATTGACTCTACGAGATAGATGCAAGAATATTTATAACACTTTTATTCATGAAACCCCCAAACTGTCTACAATCCAACTGTCCATCAATGAGAAATTGCATAAATATACTGTGGTATATTCCTACAATAGAATACTGTCCAACACATATAAAAAGCAAACTACCAATACTTACAGCATGGATGAGTCTCAGACATTGTGTTATGCAAATGAAGCCAGACACCAAAGAAAACACATAACATGAGTCCATTTACACGAAGTTCAAGACTAGGTAAATGTAATCTAAGGTGATAGAATTCAGTTGAGAGGCTATAAGGTGGAGGTGTGGCTTACTGAAGTGATACGAAAGAACTTTCTGGGGGATGGAAATCTTCTGTATCTTAATCTAGATGGGAGTTCAGTGGGTGGTTTTGTCAAAATTCATTGAACTGAACATTTAAGATAGATGCATTTTATGTAAATTATACCTCAAAAAACTTGGGTTTAAAAGAAAAAAATCATTGAGCTGTGCACTTAAGAATAGTGTACTTTACTCTATATAAATTACATCTCAGTTTTAAAAAGTGAAAAAAGAAAAGTCTAGAGCTGGGTGTCCTGTGGTCCCCTTTGGGAGATGAAGCGTAAACCTACCATATGAAGATGCCTCTCTCTTTTAAGGACCCCTCCCCATCTTGAGCCTGGGCAGTGTATGGACATCCACGCATAGCACCCTCATATCAGTTTCTCAGCAGTTTCTGTGTGACCTCCATCTGCTCTTTGCAGCTCCTCAAGTTCATCCCAGAGAAGAGTGACATTGACCTCCTCGAGGAGCACAAGCATGAGATCGAGCGGATGGCCCGGGCTGACCGCTTCCTCTATGAAATGAGCAGGTCAGGGCAGTGGGCATGGAGGGGGGGCGCTGGGGGTGCACAGGCAAAAGAGGGTCTGGATCTAGCTCCTGGAGCTGGAGGGGCTGCCTCACAATGTGGCTCGCCCCATCCACAGGATCGACCACTACCAGCAGCGACTACAGGCCCTGTTCTTCAAAAAGAAGTTCCAGGAGCGTCTGGCTGAGGCCAAACCCAAAGTGGAAGGTATGTTTGAGGGCATGGGGAGGCCTAGAGTGGAGTGGCATCTGGGAGGGCCAATGGGCAGGAATCCGTGAACTGGGACTGAGGAAAACTTTCTCATTTTCTTTTTTTTTTTTTTTTAATTTTTTTTTTCAACGTTTATTTATTTTGGGGACAGAGACAGAGCATGAGCAGGGAGGGCAGAGGGAGACACAGAATCTTAGGAATCAGTGAGGCTCCAGGCTCTGAGCCATCAGCCCAGAGCCCAGATTCGGGCTTGAACTCCTGCAGACGCGGACTGAAGAAGCCTGGCTGATTTGAAATTGACGCTAACACCACAGGCTTCATACCAAGCCTAAACTTTCTTTCTCATTTTCAATCTGCCCCTTCCCCCCACCAAAAAAACCCAAAGCCAAGGACAAAATTTAAAACTACAGTTACTGTAAATATATGCACTTGTTTTTTGTTTTTTTTTTTTCTATCCCACCCTCCTGCACTTGTTTATATTATCACATGTGCCAGACATGTGACATTGCCTGTGCCTCAGCCTGCAAACTCTCCAAGGTGAGGGATCTGTTGATATCTGTGCCAGCTGGGCTAGAAATGCTGACCAGATGATAATAGTAAGCACCTAGAACAGGGCCTGGCATGTATTGAGCTCATCAGTCTTTACCCTCCTTGAGAGCTACTAGGTTCATAGAAGACCTCTGGCACATTATTTTAAGTGTGCCCTGTTCAGAAAAGTAGGAAACTGGTTGGGTAATCCTTGGAGGAATCTAGGTTTTCTAGGTTAGTCCCCTACACAGCCTTTCCCAGATGGGCATTTTGTAATTCAATGGGAACCATGTAGCATGCACTGCATGAAACATTCCTCGTGGATGGCTTCATTGGTCCTCACAATCACTATGGGTGCATCCATTCTCTCATGTCTAAAATGGGAGTGCTGCCTGAGGCCATGTTACCAGTGAGTGGTGGAGCCAGGATTGTAACACAGATGTTCTTCAGAATTCATCTTCACTCTTGTTGGGTAGTACTTCACAGACAATGGCAGAGGATTGTGGCGGGGGGGACGGGGAGGGGCAGAGGAAAAGTCAGGATGGCCCATGCAGACCCACCAGTGGAGAAGCAGGTGAGGCTGTGAGGCCTACCTGGGGGAAGGACAGGACAGCAGAGTGGAACAGGAGAGCCTGAGTCCAGGATGCTGAGGCGGGGGGGGGGGGGGGGGGGGGCGCGAGAGCAGGCAGGCTGGGGCAGAGCAGAGAGAGCATGGGCCCCCTCTGCTGGACACCAAGGCTGGCAAGCATTCCCCTGATGATGCCGAGTCCAGAGAATGGCCTTTCCTGGAGCTGCGTCAGGGATGTTTGGGGGTGGGGGTAGGTGGGTGTGACAGAGCTAGAGGCATAGACCTTCTGCAATCTGCCCCCTACCATACAAACACACACACGTGTGCATTCACACACACAAGGGAACTGCAGGCTGGCTGTAATCATAAATAATCATTCTGAGGGAGAAGGATTGAGATCAGCAGTGATTCTGTAGGTCTAAGGTCTAGCAGTCAGTCCCTCCTGCCCTGGTGATGAGTAAATCCTTACCTTCAGACTGCCTTCTTTGTCCTGCTGCAGACTGCCTTTGGGGCATGAGGCACAGATAAGGGAATCAGTCCAAGACCTATGCTCAACCATTTGTGTGTCTTGGGTCAGTGGAGCAAATGTGAGCAATTACCGTTTGGACTTGTGGAACTAGAGTAATTTAGCCACTGGGTAGGGTTAATCTCAGATAATCTCAGAGCCCACTCCTAAGAGTTAGTCACTGAATGCTCAGAAGAGTCTCCCTTTAATATTAAGCCAAGCTGAGTAAGACATGTTTTGGATAGCAAAACCTGCTGGCAAAGGTAATAATCGCTCTGCGATAGCAATGGCTGCTATTCTAGAATGGTCTGGAGGTCTCTTCCCTGAGAGTTGGGAAGAGGTGGCTGAAGTTGTAGCTTACAGAATCAGGTCAGTGGCTTCACTAGGAGTGGAGACAAGAGGATTGTGCAGGAGTTGGGATTCATATTTTTCCTTCCAGTTCTAGGAAGTATTCCTGGAAAAGCTAAGATTTGGCCAATCCCAGCTGGTGATGAGCTATTAACACCCTACCCACCACTTCCCAACAAGGCCTCTGGGTCAATTTGCCAAAAGCCAATTCACCAAATTTGACAGATTTACTAATTCTTCTATGAATATATTCATGAAACATACTTTTCTTGAATGTATTCTTATGAATATGTTCATTGCTGAATATACCAAAGTTACCGATTCTCATTTTGAATACATTTACTGAATATAGTCAAGATGAATATGGTTTCAAATGTAAACATTCTTATGAATATAGTCACGAATATATTATTCTTATGAATATATCTAAAATGTCTGCATTGCAATGGATGTTTCCTCATTTACACTAATTTTCTTTGAACTCTTGTCAATTTCTGTTTTGCCAACATTTTAGCATTTTTAGAATTCCTTTGCAAATTTCTCAAATAGTGTATCAGCCCTAGGAAAACTATCCCAACCAATATAAATTGCTAAAAACTTTTATAAGTAGTTTTTTAAAGTAAACTTTTTATTCAAATATGGATACAGAAAAGTACACAAATCATAAGAGTCCGACTTGATGAATTATCATAAAATGAAGTAACCTGTGAAATCAACATCCGTGTTGAGAAATGGAATGTTGCCAGCCCCAAACAGCCCTCCCTCATGTCGCCCTCCCAAACATTACCCCCTGCAACCATTATGCTGTCTTCTCTAAAGGTTTTATCTTTCTTAACTTTAGGTGGATGGTATAATATAATGTGAATAATTTTATGCTGGTCTCTTTTGCTCAGCACTGTGGTTGTAAGTTACTCTGTTGTGACATCCACCAGTGAGTTATTCATTTTCAGTGCTGCATTTTATTCCATTGTATGAATATCATAATTTGTTTAACCAATCTATTTGTTAAGAATTAAAAATAAAAACTAGAAACCACTCTAATACCCATCAAGAGTAATGCTGCTATTAGGTCATAGAATATGAACATGTTCAAAGGTAGAAGCTACGGACAAACCTTAGTATTCACTTTTATAGCTTTTTTTTTTCAATTTAAAGTTATACTTTTGTTGCTAACTTCATGATGTGTGTGCACATAAAGTATAGTTGACACACGTTACGTTAGTTTCAGATGTACAATAGAGGTTGGACAAGTGTAGCTACACTGTGTAATGCTATTATACCATTGGCTATATACACCATGCTGTACATTTTATCTCCACGATTTATTCCATTACAGGAAGCCTGTATCTACCATTTCCCTTCACCCACTTTGCCTAACCCCTTACCCTTCTCCCTTCTGGCAGCCATCAGTTCTCTGTATTTATGGGTCTGTGTCTGGTTTTTGTGTATTTTTTAGATTCTACATATAAGTAAAATCACATGGTATTTGTCTTTCTCTAACTTATTTCATTTAGCATAATACCTTTAGGTCCATCCATGTTTTCACAAATGCTAAGATCTCATTCTTTTTTATGGCTGAATAATATTCCATTGTGTGTATCTTCTTTCTTTGTTGGTGTTTTGAGAATTTTCCCCAGCTTTATTGAGGTATGATTAACAAAAATTGTATATATTTAAGGTGTACAAGTGTATATACTTAAGATTCACAATTGTATATATTTTTATATTTTAAATTCCAGTATAATTAACGTACAGTATTATATTAAGTTTTAGGTGTACAGTATAGGGATTCAATAATTCTGTAATTATGTACATTCATAATGCTCATTATAATAAGTATACTATTAATCCCCTTCACCTATTTCACCCATTCCCCCACCCACCTTTTGTTCTTTATATTTAAGAGGGTTTTTTTTTTTTTTTTTGGTCTCTTTTTTTCCTTTGTTGTATGGTACTGACACATAAACAGACACGTAGATCAATGGAACAGAATAGAGAGCCCAGAAATAAATCTATACTTGTATGGTCAATTAACCTACACAAGGGGGGCAAGAATGTACAATGGGGAAAAGATAATCTCTTCAACAAATGGTGCTGGAAAAACTGGACAGCTACATGCAAAAGAATGAAACTTAGCCACTTTCTTACACCATACACAAAAATAAACTCAAAATATATTAAAGACTTAAATGTGAAACCTGACACCATAAAAGTCCTAGAAGAAAACTTAGGCAGTAATGTCTTTGACATCAATCTTAGCAACATTTTTCTGCATAGATCTCCTTGGACAAGGGGATCAAAAGCAAAAATAAACCTTGGGACTACACCAAAATAAAAAGCTTTTGCACAACCATATCTTCTTTATCCATTCATCCATCAGTGGAAACAGGTTGCTTCCATATCTTGGCTGTTGTAAATAATGTTGCAGTAAACATAGGGGTGCAGACATCTTTTTGAATTCATGTTTCATTTTCTTTGGGTAAATACACAGCAGTGGAATTATTGGATCATGTGCTGTTTCTATTTTTAGTTTTTGAAGGACCTCCATACTGTTTTCCGCAGTGGCTGCACCAATTTCCATTCTACCAACAGTGCACAAGAGTTCCTTTTTTTTTTTTTCCAGCTCCTCATCAACACTGCTATCTCTTGTGTTTTTGACTCTAGCCACTCTGAGAGGTGTGAGGTTATCCCTCACTGTGGTTTTGATTCGCATTTCCCTGATGATCAGTGATGTTAAGCATGTTTTTCATGTGTCTGTTGGCTATCTGTAGTCAGCTCCTCTGCCCATTTTTAAATTGGATTGTTTGGGTTTTGTTGGTGTTGAGTTATATAAGTTCTTTATGTATTTTGGATATTAACCCCTTATCAGATCATTTGCAAATATCTTCTCCCATTCAGTAGGTTGCCCAGTTGTTTTATTGGTTTCTTTTGCTGTGCAAAAGCTTTTTATTTTGGTGTTGTCCCAGTAGTTTATTTTTGCTTTTGTTTCCCTGGCCTGAGGAGACATATGTAGAGAAAAATGTTGCTAAGGTCAATGTCAAAGAGATT